CGGCAGGGGTGCTTTCTCTATGTAATGGCTGGTGGGAGGGGTCGGCAGGGGTGCTTTCTCTATGTAATGGGTGGTGGGAGAGGTCGGCAGGGGTGCTTTCTCTATGTAATGGCTGGGGGGAGGGGCCGGCAGGGTGCTGTACATAGCTTCCTGAAACCATCACAGCAACCTGCCTCAGTACTTCTTTAAAGAGCACTCAGAGTCCGCAAACAGTGGGCTGGCTCTTGGGAAGAGTTATGCAAATGTCACAATTTCTGATGGGTGTCTATGTGACTTGCTGCAGCGTCTAATGCACACTGTGAGAAGCTCTGTGCAAGGCATAAGGTAAGGCTGAAGTTCGCCTTTAAATGCCGAGCCATGGCACAGCAAAAGCAGCAGCTACTCACCACACTGGGGGCCAGAAATATGGAGATGTTTCTGCAGTCGTGTAGTTTCACCTGTGTGAATAACATACATACAGTTTATAATTGATATATGTATAAATGATCAGTGACACGCCTTTACCTCTTTGCTGTTCTGTGTCACATTCCCTGTTTTCTATAACCAGCTTTTAATCCTGTGCTGGTAGACAGGAAAGTCTCTGCTTCTAACCCCCAGACATGTCCGCCTCCCGCCTGTGCTAGACAGACTATTCATCAGTGAGTGAAACAAACAATTGGGGGGACTATCTGTCTGAATAGCACATTCTGTATTGCAGGGTGTGGAATCAGAGGAGCTTTAAGAGAATGTGTCACTTTGCCCATTTAGGTAGGGAACCCTCCCCCCCCCTCCTACTGATCCTCACCTTCACTGCCCTTCCCCACCACCCTGCTGGTCTGTCGGAGGTCTGGCTTGTGTCGGAGCTTACACAGGGTTATTGACCTCCTTCCCTTCGCCGCGTGACTGTGTTGGGGCCTGGCAATTGGATGCTTGAGTACTGCATCCTGGGAGGAAGTGTAGAAGGTCACATGACACCACCCCATACCTAAAAGCACCGGGTATTCCTCAGGCTTTTGACAGACAAACAAAGCGGTGGAGGTGGCAAAGGCGCCCTAACAAGAGAACCTGTCACTTTGCCCAATCTTTTTAGGGTCCATTCACACCATATATCTTGGGGCTGCGCAGTCCCAACGCAAGTCGAGGCACTTTGCCCTGTCATGGATGGGCACCATTCACACTAGGGATGCACCGATACTAGTATCGATATCGGTGCCGATTCCGAGTATTTGGGCAAGTACTCGCCCAAATGCTCCGATGCCTAGCACGAGTACTTCCGGTATCAGGAAGCCGGGCAGCGCGTCGTTAAACGCTGCCCGGTTTCGCGATTGACTGGAAGCTGGCCTCGTGAGGTTGGCGAGTCATTACACGCCACTTGGCTTCCTGAATGGGACTTCCGTTACTCGGTAATTGGTATCGGCGAGTACCAAAAAAATATTATCAGTACTCATACTCGGTACCAAAATACCGGTATCGGTGCATCCCTAGTTCACACCATGCGTTGTGGTAGGAACACGCTGGTGTGTGGCATGCAGTACTTTTTTTTTCAGAGCAGAGAGATCCGACGTGGTACAACCTCCTTGCTCCTCGTTGTGCCCGTAGAACTGAATGCAACGTCACTTGTGACATTTCAATAAAGTTCTAAAAAAAAAGTACACAGTGTAATCCGCACCGCGTCAGGCACCACACACCAGCCGCTGTGTGTTTTGCACAGCAACCAGTATGAATTGGCCCTCAGTGCTAGTTCACACCACCCTCAGTGCTTTCAGGCCCGATTCTGGCCGGAACTCACTGGATCGCATTCCGGCAGGCTCACTTTGTTTTGGGGCGGGAGGGGACGTGGTGGTGCATTCAATGGCACCATAGCCACGCCCTCCGGCCACAATGTTATCGGCCGCATGGGAACGCATGGCACATCAATGCCTGCATTCCGGTCTGGTCAGAAAAAATGCTGCAAGCACTAGCACAGGACTAATAAAAACGTAAACCTGCCCAGTGAGACACAGACAGCAATGAATAACTGACAGAGGGTCTAACCCTTTCCTACTCTATCCACAACTAGAAATACCATTCATCATCAAACTATCATAAGTGAAGAAAGAAAGGGCAACATGGAACAGCAAACAGGGTCCAGCTAAGAGGGTCCATTTTTGGAAGCCATGAGAAGAACAATGGAGCTTTGAGTCACAAGCCGTTTACCTTCCACAAGTCCTCTCGCAGGTAAGACACCCGGCGCTGATAACCCGACTTCCAGGCGTAGAAATATGACAGGCGCACTAGCCAGGGGTTGAGCTCGTACCCTACCGCTGGGCTGAAGCCCCGTCTGGCCGCCTCCAGAACCTGGAAAACCATAATACAAACACGGATTACTGCATGAGCCCCCCAATCATCACTGGGCTGTAGGTAGCTTGTTCAGAGTTGTGGGAGGGGCCCAGCAGGCCCCATCTACTATAGGCTGTCCGGAGAATACTATAGAAGGGGAAGGGGGGCACAAGACCAGTCACCCAGCACAAGGAGAGAGAGCGGCAGTGACCGGTCTTAATTACGGGAGGGGGTGGAGACCAGACCAGTCACCCTGCACAAGGAGAGAGAGCAGCAGTGACCGGTCTTTATTACAGGAGGGGGCGGAGACAAGACCAGTCACCCTGTACAAGGTGAGAGAGCAGCAGTGACCGGTCTTAATTACAGGAGGGCGGAGACCGGACCAGTCACCCTGCACAAGGAGAGAGAGCAGCAGTGACCGGTCTTTATTACAGGAGGGGGCGGAGACATGGGGAAGGGGGGCACAAGACCAGTCACCCAGCACAAGGAGAGAGAGCGGCAGTGACCGGTCTTAATTACGGGAGGGGGTGGAGACCAGACCAGTCACCCTGCACAAGGAGAGAGAGCAGCAGTGACCGGTCTTTATTACAGGAGGGGGCGGAGGCAAGACCAGTCATCCTGCACAAGGATAGAGAGCAGCAGTGACCGGTCTTTATTACAGGAGGGGGAGGAGATAAGACCAGTCACCCTGCACAAGGAGAGAGCAGCAGTGACTGGTCTTTATTACAGGAGGGGGCGGAGACAAGACCAGTCACCCTGTACAAGGTGAGAGAGCAGCAGTGACCGGTCTTAATTACAGGAGGGCGGAGACCGGACCAGTCACCCTGCACAAGGAGAGAGAGCAGCAGTGACTGGTCTTTATTACATGAGGGGGCGGAGACAAGACCAGTCACCCTGCACAAGGAGAGAGAGCGGCAGTGAGCCTTAGCTGTAACATTATCTCACTATTCTGCCGTCACCAGAGCCCAGGTCCACCATCTTCCCGGACCGTCCTTCCAGCAGCGTCAGTACATTCTCCACTTGCCTAGCACTGGCTGGAATGTACGGAACCTACGGAGACAAAGCAACAATAAAAAATAAAATGGGGGCTGAGATACAGGGACTTGTCTTTATTGCACTGTAGCAGCCACGTTATTGGTTAAACCTTTTTTCCTGACCAGTATACAGTCTCATTTCTGTCGTATAAACATCTACATCCCCTTTTATGTTGGTGATATTCATAGTGTTACAGCAGTTGTCTGAATTCCCCGGCGCTCTTAGTAATCAGCACTCAGTACAACAGACGTGGTCAGACACGCCCCCTCTCTTGCATTGAGGGGTGTGGCCATTACTCAGCTCTGCAGTGTGAGCACAGGGAGGGACATTTTACAGGAAGAAAAGGATATTTTAAAGCATTTCCAAGCTAAAAGCAGGTCACAGACCATGATGAATACGACTTGAGAGGAGTTACCTGTAATTTTAATGGCACTTTCCTGAAGCCGGGCATCAGCACCAAGGCCCACACAGAGTAAGCAGCCAATCCCGTGCATCCTGCGATCTGCAGCAGCCCCCATCCCCCCAGCGGTTTGCCTTCTAACCCCGACACCACATCCCCATCTTCGTCCATTTCTGCAATCAGAAAGATGCTGTTAGCCATTATGACACACCTTACCCTTTCCAGCATTCCCAAACATCCGGCCAGACAGGTTTAATCACCACCCCCCCGGTCGGTGCTCGGGTCCGGCTACTGCGTGCTCAGCAATTATGGGGGATCTATGGCGGCCAACTCTTCCGGGAGGCAACAATGGCGGTACCCGTACCTTCTAGAAGAGATAAAGCTGTTTTTTTTAATAAACGTTTTATTTTAATAGCCTTTTACGGCAATTTGTATTCCGGAGGGTTGGGGCGTTCTATTTTTCATGTAAGAGCCACTTTAAATGCTTTTGGGGG